TATGAAAGGTAACTAAAGGGAACTAAAGGCATGAGAGGTAACTAAAACTGATAAAGTAACTAGAGTCTATAAGACTCAAATCTTACAGTAACATGGCTTTTGGTAAATTCACTATACAATAAACTTTTATTTTTGTAACTACATGTCCTGGATGCTGTATTCTCCTTTTTTTGATCTAGTGTCTAATGACTGAGCTGCAGTGTGTATATGATTGACTCATATGTGTATGATCTGAAAGCATTGTTTGATTTTGAGTGCTGGTGACATGGTTTGGAAGCAATTGCTTGATTTTGCCAGATGAGTCAGAGGTTTTGTGAATTTAGTTTGAGTATTTGGATTTGTTTAAGGTTTTGACAAAATAAGTGGTAGTTTCAAAAAACGTGTTTTAGCAATTCAGAAAAACTGTAAGACAGATGCTAATCTTCAACAGATTAAATAAGTGCTCAAAATAAACACTTACCTCAATTTTGATGCCTGAAACATACTCCAAAAAAAGCTGGGGCGGCTGCATTTCAGGGTTAGTAATGAGGTAAAAGTGATGATTCCATTTGAAACAGGTGATGTCAGCAAGTGATTCCAATTATGATTTGGTACAAAAATGGTTTCCAGAAAAGGCCTCATCTTTTAGGAGCAAAGATGGGCCAAAGGTCATCGGTTTGCCAACAAATATGTGAGAAAATCATTGAAATGTTTAAAAACAATGTTCGTTAAAGAAATATAGGAAGGGATTAGGATACGTCACCCTCTACAGTGCATAATATTAAAAGATTCAAGGAATGTGGAGGGATTTCAGAGCCTAAAAGGCTCAAGCCTAAGCTGGATGACCGTGCTCTGATCCCTTAGACGGCACTGCATCAAGAATCACTCTTCTATAAGCAATATAACCACAAGGGATCAAGATTACTTTGGTAATTACATCCATAAATGCCACTTAAAACTGGACTGTGCCAAAAGGAAGACCTACGTCAGTGCCCAGAGTCACAGTCAACTGCTCTGGGCTTGGAGACATCTGGGATGGACCACACAGTGGAAACGTGTACTGTGGTCAGAGGTAAATTCCACTTCTGTCATGGCTCCATTAATGCTGAAAAAGATTTTGGAGCAACACATGCTGCCTTCAAGATGGCATCTTTTCCAGGGACGCCCATATGCAGCCAACAAGTCCAAATGCCAGGGTCTGTCATGGTCTGGTGTCGTGTCAGTGCCCTTGGCAAAGGTAAATTCCACCTCTGTCATGGCTCCATTAATGCTGAAAAAGAGTTTGGAGCAACACATGTTGCCTTCAAGATGACATCTTTTCCAGGGACGCCCATATATTTTTCAACAAGACAATGCAAAACCTCATACTGCACATTACCAAGGCCTGGCTGTGGAGGAGAAGGGTACGAGTGCTGGACCGGCCTGCCTGTAGTCCTGATCTGAAATGCAAATTGCATCAACAACGACCCAGGACTGTTGTGCACCTTAAGACTTCTTTGCAGGAAGAATGTGACAAAATGACACCTGACACAATTAATCACTTGGTGTCCTCAGTCCCTAAACATCAAGTGTTGTGAAAAGGAACGGCAACATCACACAGTGATAAATGCTTTACTGTCCCAACTTTTATTTTGGAATGTGTTGAAAAAAACTTAGAAAAATTAGAAAAAACTGGACTAGTCCACATTTTGGAATGTGTTGTGGGCATCAGAATTGGAGTGAGTGTTTATTCTTAGGCATAAAATTGAGGTATCAAATAATGTGCTTCTGTGTTTTCAATGTAATATAAAGGCACAGATGATTTACACATTTACATACACTATTTTCACTTTTAATCTTGACTTTACTTACAGTCCCAACTTTTTCTGATTTGTTGTTTTAGCACCACGAATCTAAGTGAACATTCAAATTCCCTTAATGTTCCCTCTGTTCTGACAGGAGTAGAGCATTTAATTATATTGTGCTACAACATGCATCTCAAAATCTTTTTCTAAGACCTT